TTTTTTTACCGGTACTATTACTTATCTTGTTGATTTGGTGTGTGTGTGTGTGTGTGTCAATCTTGTTGATTAGTGAACATCTAATCATGTAAAATATTACATCTTGCTTTTGACGATTTGAGTTGGAAGAGGAATTAAATAACATGTCTATTTCGCATTTTCCACGCTTTGATAAATACAGTGTTTAATATTTAATCATAAAACCTTTTTCTGTTATCTTTATATCCATATCACTAGTCATTAGTTACCTGTTAATATAAATTAGTTAATTTGCTGTCCAGTTGAGCAATTGATTATTAAATCGCGTAAACTTCTTTGAAAAGGATTTTAGAAGAGTCATCTACTTCTTTTATTCTTCTCTCTCTTCCCAAGTTCCCATTTGCTTTGAGTTAGGATTTCGATTCCGTTCAGCACTGGAAATATCTAATCATTGTATGTAATGCAGTTCAGCAGATTGTCCAGGCTGTGCTCATAAAAATGTCCGACATTTCTGCTGGTGGAATAGAGTAAGTAACTCTACCAATATTAGTAGAATTTCTCCATCTTTTAGCCAATGCTCCTGTATATACTTATAAAGTTGACCTTTGTTTGTTGATTCTTCAGTATATTTCTTCACCAATACAAGATTCTGGAAATAAGGGTTGTGGCAGAGAGGCCATGCTTTTGTTGAAGCACAAAATTCTTAAAAGCATTGTGTTAAGACGTACCAAAAAGGGCAGGGCTGCTGATCTGGCGCTTCCGCCTAGGATTGTATGTTTTCTTGTTAACCAATGCAAATGTGAACAATTAGTATGTTCTAGTGTTTTACCATAAATAAGATATTTTAAAATTCAGGTCACTTTAAGACGAGATTCGCTGGATGTCATTGAAGAAGATTATTATACTGCACTGTATAATGACAGTCAGGCAAAGTTCAACACGTGTGTAATCTGAATCTCCTTAAACCTCATATACTTAATTAGCGAGCTGGGGTGTTGTCCATTGTGAACTATTCATGGGAAACAGTTCATTGGACATTTTGTTCTTACTTCATGATTTTTGTTTATATCACAGATATGTTGAAGCAGGAACAGTGTTGAATAACTATGCCCACATATTTGATCTGCTAACTCGCCTTCGACAGGTTCTGAGATCTTGTTGCTTTTTTATATCGTTGTTATGACGTGTATTTGTTTTCAAAGTTTATACAAGCTATATCCAGTTTCTTTTAATTTTTTGTCATCATATTTTGGCATTTAAATATCTTCCGTGTGTGTATAGTAATTAGTGAGTACTAAGGCCCTTTAACAACTTGCTTCAGTTTAAAGTGTTGAAAGCAGTTGATTTTCTTCCAAGTTTCTTCAGATGATTCATATGAATCAAGAAGATGGTTCTTTATAGAAATGTTCATGTATTACATTTCTCAAAGACCAGTCCGTAGTTATCATCTTCATTGTTAATTCAGGCTGTTGATCATCCTTACCTTGTGGAGTATTCTGTTACTGCTATGGAAAGAAAGGGTAAAGCAGTTGAAAGTAGCAGTGATGAGATATGTGGTTTATGTAATGACCCTGGAGAAGATACAGTGGTGAGTTTGAATATGATTCAAGTGTTAATTTTGAAATCTTCTTAGAAATTGAAATCCACTCAAAAAATTTAACAAAGTTTTCTTTGCAGCTGTACAAAGTCTTGTTTTATATTATGTGCCACAGTTTCATGTGGAACTGTTACATCTTTTACTTAGGAGTTTAGGTACTTTACAGTTAGCATTTATTTAATACCTGGTTTTTTACCCCAATCTTTCACAAGTCCTCTGTCTGAAGTGTTGTTTAGTGAACATTTATTAGCGAAGGCACATATAGTCCAATTGCATGAAACGTCAAAGGTGATACTTTTTGTATTGCCTACCTATTTGTATGAAGTCATTGCATAGTTGTTTTTAGGTTATAGCTTACATATGTATCATTACTGAAGTCTGATAAGTAATACTTGTTTTATGCGTTAAAAAAAATGTTATGTGCGTTTGAGGTACGATTTATGCGGCAAATGATTATGGCCATTTGTGTTGATGTATCTTTATAAAACGCTGCAGTTTCTTTATGTTCTGATTTTATTTGTTATTATAGCTCATTTTCCATTCAAGCAAGATTTCATTAATTAATTGAGGTCTAAGATGCTTGTTGAGTAATATCAAATGATTTGCATAACCCCATGGATTGTGGGATCTTTTGTTTCTTCTATTACACATCTTTCATTTGTTTTTTGTTTTTGTATTTAATTCTTTTCTGTCTATGAATTGTCACATTTAGGTCACTTCATGTGGACATGTCTTCTGCAAACCTTGTTTGATTGATTTTGGTGCTAGTATGGGGCAAAACTCCTGCCCTTCTTGTTCAAAGCCACTTACTGTTGATTTCACCTCCAATAAAGATGGTGTGGAGCAGAGTTCGAAAACAACTGTCAAAGGATTCAGGCGATCGAGTATTTTGAATAGAATTCAGATTGATGATTTTCAGACAAGCACAAAAATAGATGCTTTGGTAAGTTATGCATGGAGTACCACTATTCCTTATAGTGAGAGCAAAACGAAAAAAAGAAAAATGGAAATGAAAATATAGTGTGACGATGATTATTAGACTGCATTTTCTTTTAATCTCAGTTCTTCAAAAAAAATTTTGGATTGATAAAATGGCACTTAGGTGTCCTGATGAAGAATTTTTTGTGAATGAATGTTTCGGAAAAAAGTGGTTTTTTTATGAGAAGCATACTAATGGACGTGATATATATTTTCACTTGTTTTAGGAAAATGAATAAATTCAATTGACTATCAAATGAAGTAAACAGTTATACTTCACTTTTGAGGATTTCCAATTCATTATTACATGTGCATACTATTTCTAAGTTAAGTGTTATCTGGTTTTCTGGATGGTATTTCCACCTGATCTGAAACAACTCTTTTCTTTATTTACATGTTTATTCCTCTTTCCTTTGCACATTTAAGTAATGTTTCAATTTTACTTTTGGGAGTCAAAGTGTCTAAAGCTTTGCACAATTCTTTTCATCATTTATACGTTTATTACAGAGGGAAGAAATCAGGTTCATGATTGAAAGGGATGGTTCTGCTAAGGGAATTGTCTTCAGTCAATTCTCATCTTTTTTGGATCTCATACACTACTCGCTTCAAAAGGTATGCCATGCATGAACCATTTTTTTTTTTTTTCCTTTTTTTGCATTCATTTTTTTTTAAAATTAACTTATTTGCATGCGGATCCTAAGCTAATACTTTCTCTCCTTTTTCAGTCTGGAGTGAACTGTGTTCAACTAGATGGATCCATGTCCATGGGTGCCAGAGATACTGCTATTAAAAGATTCTCGGAGGACCCGAATTGCAAAATCTTTCTAATGAGCTTGAAAGCAGGAGGCGTGGCCCTCAATCTTACAGTCGCATCACATGTAAGACTTTTTCTGTGTAGACTGTGTTATATATCGATCGATGGCTCTTATCATATGCGAGAAGTATATACACAAGATGTAACTAAATGGATTCGAAAAATTCCTCACTTTCCTTGTTTGGCTATATGTTACAAAACGGAATTCGCATATCATTTTAACATTTCTGCTTGATATTATTACATGTTTTTTTTTTTATTTTTTTTTTATTGGATGTTCGGTAGGTTTTCTTGATGGATCCTTGGTGGAACCCAGCTGTCGAGAGACAGGCTCAGGATAGAATTCACCGAATAGGTCAATATAAACCAATCCGGTAGGTTTTAATGATTTTGCTNGTTTGTGCGTGCCAAAAGCATCTGATTCGAACCCGGATTTTGTTGCTTTCAGTAGTATAAATATATTTTGCAGTTTAAGCTTTTGATTGAATTTTGTTTTGAACTCAGCTGCTTGGATAAATAGCTTCAACTTCAGTTTATGTCTGTATTATAGATTTATCACCAGATTATGTGATCACTTTTTGCATTTCATATGGCTTGTTGACAGCATATGGTTTATATATGGAAAAATTATTAGGGGACTAAATTTTGTTATTTTTCACTGCTTAGGTATTATGTTAGGCTGCCTGATGCCTAATCATCAGGTCGATATGTTCGTTTTCGTTCTATAAATATGCGTACTTTATTGGAAAATGATATATTAAAAAGATAATATAAGGAAAAAATTTGACTTTTGATGGTATATATATCTATTTGTTATTGAAGAGTTTTACAGGTTGACTCGTCTAATGTTTAAGCCGAATTTGTGAAGGAATTAATATTTGGGATTTGCTGAGATTGATGAATACTATTTTTAAGTAGTTCTAGTTGGATTGTTAATTGTGTGATACCCTAAATACAAAACCAAGAGGTCCAAGACACAAACTAAACCTACTTGGTTCGGTTTAACAAGTCAGAATCAGTTAGGCGTTTCAATCTTGATTGGTAGTCAATACTTTTTGAAGTTGATAGATATTTCGTTTTGAAACATCAAGAAGAATAATTAGATATCTTATGTTGAATTGTTTTTAAAATAATGACGTTTCATTGTATACGTATGTATGCTATTTCGTTATGTAAATTAACACCAAACCTATTGTGCATTAACTGAATGATTTATTTTGTAAGTTAAATAGTCCGTAACATATATGAATGGGGTTGCATTGATTTTCTCGATGAGAAGAATTTAATGGTAGGTCACCTACATAAAACAAACGCCAGACAACGCTAGAATTAAGTCGGATATGAAACAAAATATTTTATTCTGCCCTTCGTGATTAGTGTACATTTTTTGATATATTTTTAAATAAATTATTATACTAAGTTTGATATCTATTAATATAACGCATTAATAAACGATAAAAAATGAAATTTTGCCCACATACAAGCTCCATGGTCAATACCAAATTTCGAACATATTCATTACTTTTTGCATTGTGCAGACTTTGCAAATATCTATTATTTTTGGCTAATCATTTAATAGTTTTGGTAGCAGTCTGCCATCCACAACCTCAAAGAACAAAAGTAGTTTAGAGAAATCATCTGAAGCATCTGAGGAAGAATCCTGAGAGGAATAAGATAAGCCTCCAAAAAATCCTAAGAAATTTGTATGTTTTTCTCCGAGTACGAGGATCACATCGGTGGGGAGCGCTTTCTTGGCCACAGCCAAATTTGAAGATGTCTGAGAAAATACTTGGTCAGTCCATGTGGAGGCGAGAAGGGAGCAACCGATGGTTTTAAAAAAAACTATGGTTCTGCCTGTGCTGGGAAATTAGAAATCATTCAACAACAAGGCTGAGGAAAAACAAGCCGCCACCAAGACCAAATGATATGTAGAGGTTTTGTATGTCTGCCTTTGTATATAGATACTTTTTTCTTTTTTGTCCAGGAATTGATAATGAATCATTGTAGCCGGATATTCTTTTCTTTTTATAAAAGCTAAAGCATGCACAAACATCTATCATTGTACCAATTATTCTTCTTATAGTTATAAAATACAGTTACTAAATACTCAAATTGTATACTTAATTATGTAGTAAATTGTCCGATTATGCAGGTTATTAAATACTCAAATTTTAAGCATAATTATATATTCAAATTTTAAGTATAATTATATATTCGCACAACCACAAACCCACTAGTATAGATATAAAAATTTTATGTTAGAAAAGAAGGATGAAACATGAAAATGTAATCATTCCATGAGCAGAATTATTAGTTATATGACATTATTATTGACTAATGGGACCTGGGGCTTGGTCCCAACTGGAAAATGACGTTTTACCTACTCTTATCATTAACATTTCATCTGAGCCGCCTCCACAACCACAAAGCGTTCGAGAAAAAAATTCCTCTTTCACTTCTCTTCATAATTTTTTCCAAACTAAGAACATATCCGATGCTCCACTTTCAACATTAATTAAATTTGAACACATAGAAGACTTTAATTTAGAATGCACATCTTCAATGCATCCCTTTCAAAAGCTTAAAATAGGTTAGATTTTTTATGAGTTGGCTTTCAAACACTCTTTGGAAAACTAGAAAGTGGACTTCACACTTTGGATATTTATTGTCTCCATGTCAGCATAAAAGAGTCAATAACATTATGGATTGGAGAGTAATTTTTATAATCACTTTATAACTTGATGATGTGGCTAACATTTTATTAAGTCAACATCTCATGTTGCAAATGCTGCTCTAAAGCTAATTGGATTTCATTTCACCAACAGGGGATCCATGGCAGCTTATGGAACTCTCCTTTCTCTTACAAACACCATAGCCAAAATCCAGAATCACCCTCGCCCTCCCATCTCCCTCAACAAACTACAAATATTACCTCTGATAAAAAAAGTTGCTTTCTTGCAAGATTTTCTTCAACACTATATCATTGATGATGCAGATGGCTTGGAGGGGCGTACGACTGATGCGGCTCACGAGGCCGCAGATATAATCGAGTCCTATATTGTCGATCATATTGGGGCTGGTGGTGCAGCTAACATTGATTCGAACCACGACGACGCTTTGTATCGAGATCTACAGAAAGTGATGTACGACTTTGATTCCATCGTAAAAGACGCGGTGAAGGTGAGGAGAAAAATTGCTCCACAATGGTGCACTGAGGATGACGCCACATTGGGTTCTGATGATGATAAGATGAACGACATCATGGATAAGCTGAACAACAGTCCTTATTTGGATGGGGACGACAAGATGAAGGGTGCGATGAAAGACATTATGGGTAAGCTGACCGATCAAAAATCCAATCGTCAGCTCATCGCGATTGCTGGCATGGGGGGAATTGGTAAGACCATTTTTGCAAAACGTATTTACCAAAATCCACTTATGTTGCAACACTTTGATATTCGAGGATGGGTTACAGTCTCTCAAAAATTTAATTCGGAAAGGATTTTGTTAGAAGTCCTTCGCTGTTTGAAAAACAACGCGAGTGAGGACAGTGAACATGGAGAATTAGGACAAAATTACGAACATGGAGAATTAGGAGTAAAATTGTATCAGAGCTTAATCGGGCGACGATATCTGATTGTGATGGATGACATCTGGCATACGGACGCGTGGGATGCGGTGCAGCGCTTCTTTCCGGTTACTGACGGGAGCAAAGTACTAATAACCACTAGGTCATTGGACGTGGCTTTGAAACTGGATGGCTCAGATTACATTCAGATGGACACCGTCATGGGAAAGCTGGACAACATTCGTTATTTGGAGGGGGACGACAGTGTCATGACAGACATCATGGATAAGCTGACCAATGAACAATCTGGTCGTCGGATTATCGCGATTACCGGCATGGGCGGTATTGGCAAGACCACTCTTGCGAAAAGAATATACGAACATAAACTTATTGTGGAACACTTTGATATTTGCGGATGGGCTACTGTCTCTCAAGAAATTAATTCCAAAGGGATTTTATTAGAAATCCTTTGCGGTTTGAAATCCATTGGGAGTGAGGACAAATTCGACCAAATGAGCGAACGTGAATTAGGAAAAATGTTGTCTTCGAGTTTAATCGGGCGACGATATCTGATTGTGATGGATGACATTTGGGATACGTATGCGTGGGAAAGGGTGAAGCTCTTCTTTCCGGATAACTACGGGAGCAAAATACTGATAACCGCTAGGGAATTGAAACTGGCTTTGCAACTGGATGGTCCAGAGTGCTTCCCGATGAGGTTTCTGAAGGTGGACGAAAGTTGGAATCTACTGCGTGGGTTTGTGTTTCAGGAAGAAGGGTGCCCGCTGGAATTGGAACAGATTGGGAAGGACATTGCCAAGAATTGTGGAGGTCTTCCATTGTCAATTGCTGTGATCGGAGGGCTCCTAGCGAAGTCTGAACAGACACTAGCAAAATGGAAACACGTTTTACAAAATTTAAGCTCGATTCTGAATTCAGAGGAAGACGAGCGTTGCTCTAGAATACTAAAATTGAGCTACAATCAACTGCCGGTCCACCTGAAGCCGTGTTTTCTCTACATGGCCTTGTTCCCGGAGGACCAAGAGATTCGCGTCCCTGCGCTCCTCAAACTATGGGTTGCTGAAGGATTCGTGATACCGGTGGCCGGTCAAAGCTTGGAAACAGTTGCGAGAGTAGTGTACCTAAATGATCTCGTCATGAGAAACCTGATCTTGGTTCGTGCGTGGGGCCCTACTCGAAGAATAAAACGGTGCGGCATCCACGATCTCCTGAGAGGCCTATGCATAAAAGAAGCTGAGAAATACAAATTCTTTCGCACGATGAAAATAACGCACAACCCTGACCCTGACCCTGACCAAAGCTGGCGCGTCCAACGCCGTATCAGCATTCACCATGCTGCATCATCAGAGGGGGAACACAAATACATTCCCCTTTCACTCCCTGAAGCTGTGAAATCCGCATCACGAGCGCGAACTCTGATATGGAACGTTGATGGAATTTTACCATCTGTAGTTCCCTTTAGATTGCTGAGGATTCTGAACGGTTACGATAGATTTGTTCTTTACGAACTTGAGCTCAGAGAACTTTGTCATCTGGTCAACTTGCGCCACCTGTTCATCACAGCTAAACTGTCGGAGCTTGAATTTCCGCCGGAATTTTACCTACTCTGGAATTTGCAGACGTTAGCAGTTGATACGGACCCGGATGACGAAAACCTGCTGGTGCTGGACATCTGGCGGATGCCCCAACTCAGGCACGTCAAGGTAGTCATGCTCCAACTCACGGATCCTCCTCCTTCCCTGGATGAAGAAAATGCTTGGATGGTGTTGGAGAATCTTGAGACGCTCAAGAGAGTATATAACTTGAGGTTGGGTGAGGAAGTGGTTGAGAGAATCCCCAATATCAAGAAGCTGGCAATAGTATACGACGAGGAGGCTTATGGTCTCGACAATCTCTCTCAGCTTCGTAAGCTGGAAGCCCTTAGATGCTATTCATCACTTTTTCGACGAATTAAGCCGACGTTCCCGATTTCGCTAAGGAAGCTGACTCTGAAAGGCACGTGTCTGGGGTGGGAGGAGATGGGGACAAAGTTAGGGTGCTTGCCATATCTCGAGGTCCTCAAGCTATTGATGCATTCGTTCGTGGGGCCCGAGTGGGAAACAACCGATGGCGGATTCCAGAGCCTGAAATACTTGCGAATTAATTGTTGCTCTGATCTGGAAAAGTGGAGGGCGGAGGCCTATGACTTCCCACGCCTCGAGCGGCTCGTCCTAGTGGGTCTATATAAGCTGAAGGAGATTCCATTGGGATTTAGGGAGATACCCACGCTTAGGGAGATCAAGGTGGTGCAATGTAATGACTCTACCGTGCTTTCTGCAAACAAGATACTAGAGGAATAAGAGGAGTGTTTTGGGGAAGCGTACATCAGATTAGAGTTACACTAGACTATCAGACCCAACTACGAAAACAGAGCTTGAGGAGTCACAATACATATGCTTATTGGTTACTGCCATGCAGTGGGTTAGTGAGATTGATAAACTCACTTTGAAAGGAAGCACCAAGGTTCTTGTCTACCATGGCGCTAACCGGGGCAAAAAAGCATTATGAGTTTGCTGACTACGACTTCGTCATAACAACATATACAGGAAGTATGTGATGCCCCCAAGGAGAAATGCAATTACTGTGGGAAATTATTCTATAAGCATAAGTCGAAAATTAACTTGAAGTATGTGTGTGGGCCTTTTGCTATTAGGACAGGGAAGCAGGCACAACAACGGAGAAAAAATCCAAAGACAAAAAAGGTGGCAGACTCTGAGGGAAGTAAGAAGAAAGGAGGTCGTGGTGAAGGAAAGAAGCATGCCAGAGTAGAAAGTTTATTAGTGAAGGCACATTTGGTCTCATTGTATGAAACATCAAAGATGATACCTTCTGTATTGCCTACCTATTTGTATGAATTCATTGCATAGTTGTTTTTAGAGTATAGGGTACATATGTATCATTCTGATAAGTGAAACTTGTGTTACGCGTTTGAGGTACAATTTATGCCGCAAATGATTATGGCCATTTGTGTTGATGTATCGTGATAAGATTCTGCAGTTTCTTCTATGTTCTGATTTTATTTATTATTGTAGCTCATTTTCCATTCAAGCAAAGATTTCATTGATTAATTGAGGTTTAACATGCTTGTTGAGTAATATGAAGTGATTTGCATAACTCCATGGATTGTGGGATCTTTTGTTTTTTCTATTACACATCGTTCATTTCTCCTTTGATTTTGTTTTTGTATCTGATTCTTTTCTGTTCATGAATTGTCACATTTAGGTCACTTTCATGTGGACATGTCTTCTGCAAACCTTGTTTGATTGATTTTGGTGCTGGTATGGGGCAAAACTCCTGTCCTTCTTGTTCAAAGCCACTTACTGTTGATTTCACCTCCAATAAAGACGGTGAGGAGCAGAGTTCAAAAACAACTCAAAGGATTCAGGCGATCGAGTATTTTGAATAGAATTCAGCTTCATGAGTTTCAGACAAGTACAAAAATAGATGCTTTGGTAAGTTATGCTCGGAGTACCACTGTTCCTTATAGTGAGAGCAAAAAGAAAAAAGAAAAATGGAAATGAAAAATATAATGTGACAATGATAATTAGTAACTGCATTTTCTTTTAATCTTGGTTTTTCAAAAACTTTTGGATTGATAAAATGGTGCTTTTGTGTCCTGATGAAGAATTTTTGGCGAATGAATGTTTCTGAAAAAAAGTGATGTTTTGTATGAGAAGCATACTAAAGGACGTGATATATATTTTCACTCGTTTTAGGAAAATGAATAAATTCAATTGATTATCAAATGAAGTAAACAGTTATACTTCACTTTTTATGCTTTTCTTTATTTATATGTTTATTACAGAGGGAAGAAATCAGGTTTATGATTGAAAGGGATGGTTTTGCTAAGGGAATTGTCTTCAGTCAATTCTCATCTTTTCTGGATCTCATACACTACTCGCTTCAAAAGGTATGCCATGCATGAACCATGTTTTTTTTTCTTTTTCTCTTTTTGCTTTCATTTTTTTTTAAATTATCTTATTTCCATGCGGATCCTAAGCTAATACCTTCTCTCGTTTTTCAGTCTGGAGTGAACTGTGTTCAACTAGATGGATCCATGTCCATGGGTGCCAGAGATACTGCAATTAAAAGATTCTCCAAGGACCCGAATTGCAAAATCTTTCTAATGAGCTTGAAAGCCGGAGGCGTGGCCCTCAATCTCACAGTCGCATCACATGTAAGACTTTTTCTGTGTAACTGTGTTATATATCGATCGATGGCTCTTATCTTATGCGAGAAGTATATACACAAGATGTAACTAAATGGATTCGAAAGATTCCTCACTTTCCTTGTTTGGCTATATGTTATAAAATGGCATTCGCATATCATTTTAACATTTCTGCTTGAGATTATTACATTTTTTTTTTATTGGATGTTCGGTGGGTTTTCTTGATGGATCCTTGGTGGAACCCAGCTGTCGAGAGGCAGGCTCAGGATAGAATTCACCGAATAGGTCAATATAAACCAATCCGGTAGGTTTTAATGATTTTGCGCTTTCCTTAGAGATTTTTTTTTTTG